GTGTTGTTGACTGGTGTAGTGGTGTTGTTGACGAGTGTAGTGGTGTTGTTGACTGGTGTAGTGGTGTTGTTGACTGGTGTAGTGGTGTTGTTGACGAGTGTAGTGGTGTTGTTGACTGGTGTAGTGGTGTTGTTGACTGGTGTAGTGGTGTTGTTGACGAGTGTAGTGGTGTTGTTGACTGGTGTAGTGGTGTTATTGACGAGTGTAGTGGTGTTGTTGACGAGTGTAGTGGTGTTGTTGACTGGTGTAGTGGTGTTGTTGACGAGTGTAGTGGTGTTGTTGACTGGTGTAGTGGTGTTGTTGACTGGTGTAGTGGTGTTGTTGACTGGTGTAGTGGTGTTGTTGATTGGTGTAGTGGTGTTGTTGACGAGTGTAGTGGTGTTGTTGACCGGTGTAGTGGTGTTGTTGACGAGTGTAGTGGTGTTGTTGACTGGTGTAGTGGTGTTGTTGACTGGTGTAGTGGTGTTGTTGACGAGTGTAGTGGTGTTGTTGACTGGTGTAGTGGTGTTATTGACGAGTGTAGTGGTGTTGTTGACGAGTGTAGTGGTGTTGTTGACTGGTGTAGTGGTGTTGTTGACGAGTGTAGTGGTGTTGTTGACGAGTGTAGTGGTGTTGTTGACTGGTGTAGTGGTGTTGTTGACGAGTGTAGTGGTGTTGTTGACGAGTGTAGTGGTGTTGTTGACGAGTGTAGTGGTGTTGTTGACTGGTGTCGTGGTGTTGTTGACGAGTGTAGTGGTGTTGTTGACGAGTGTAGTGGTGTTGTTGACGAGTGTAGTGGTGTTGTTGACGAGTGTAGTGGTGTTGTTGACTGGTGTAGTGGTGTTGTTGACGAGTGTAGTGGTGTTGTTGACGAGTGTAGTGGTGTTGTTGACGAGTGTAGTGGTGTTGTTGACGAGTGTAGTGGTGTTGTTGACGAGTGTAGTGGTGTTGTTGACTGGTGTAGTGGTGTTGTTGACGAGTGTAGTGGTGTTGTTGACGAGTGTAGTGGTGTTGTTGACGAGTGTAGTGGTGTTGTTGACGAGTGTAGTGGTGTTGTTGACGAGTGTAGTGGTGTTGTTGACTAGTGTAGTGGTGTTGTTGACGAGTGTAGTGGTGTTGTTGACTAGTGTAGTGGTGTTGTTGACGAGTGTAGTGGTGTTGTTGACGAGTGTAGTGGTGTTGAGTTCGTCTGTTGTTGTTGTTGTTTGTGCGCCACAGCCGGACAGACGTTTAGTAAAACAAGTGCAGTAGTCACCCACATTTTACCCCGCCACACGCGACTGGTCGCCCATGGGCTGTCCGTGTACCTCTGCTGGACATCTGTTAAAAAAAGAGCTTCATAGCTCATCGGATTCCTCCAGGACAGTGGTTCTTAACCTGGGTTCGATCGAACCCCAGGGGTTCGGTGAGTCGATCTCAGGAGTTCGGCAGAGCCCCCGCCACGGAGGTCCGGACACTTGAATTATTGTGTAAATTTGTGATGACACACACGGCCCGCTTGGCCATCACTGGCTGCAGATGATCATGCTACACTGCTTGGCCAATCAGCGCTGCGGGGAATTTTGTGCGTACTCAGTAGTCAACGTGTGACTGTTGTTGTCGTACGTCGTGTGATTTCTTTAATATTTTATCCATACTAACTATGTCGGGCAAAAGAAGAAAGTGGTCGGACGAATATGTACAACATGGATTCTCATGTATCACGGAACGTGATGGGAGTGAGCGTCCTATCTGCATGATTTGCAACGCCAAGTTGAGCAACTCTAGTCTTGCACCGGCAAAACTAAAGGAACACTTCTTGAAGCTGCATGGAGACGGGGAATACAAGAACACAACACTTGCTGAATTCAGGGTGAAGAGAGCCAGATTCGATGAAAGGGCCACTCTGCCTGCTCTTGGATTTGTACCTGTTAACAAACCGATCCTGACAGCATCGTACGAAGTTGCTTACCTGATCGCAAAGCAGGGCAAGCCACACACCATTGGTGAAACACTTGTGAAACCAGCTGCATTAAAGATGGCGAATCTGATACTCGGAACAGCGGCCGAAGGTAAATTATCCCAAATTCCCCTTTCAAATGACACCGTCAGTGACAGAATAGAAGACATGAGTAAAGACATCTTGGCTCAAGTAGTCGCGGATCTGATTTCAAGCCCGGCAAAATTCAGCCTTCAACTCGACGAAACCACAGACGTTTCTGATCTAAGCCAGCTTGCTGTTTTTGTACGCTATGTGAAAGACATGATAAAAGAAGAGTTTTTATTTTGTAAGCCTCTTACAACAACAACGAAGGCAGCCGATGTGAAGAAGCTTGTGGATGACTTCTTCAGAGACAACAATCTTTCATGGGATATGGTTTCTGCAGTTTGTACGGACGGAGCTCCAGTCATGCTGGGAAGAAAGTCTGGTTTTGGTGCGCTAGTAAAGGCCGATGCACCACACATCATTGTGACGCATTGTATTCTGCACAGGCATGCGTTGGCAACAAAAACCTTACCTCCAAAATGGCAGAAGTATTAAAAACTGTGGTGGAATGTGTGAACTATGTGCGAAAAAGTGCTCTGAGGCACCGCATCTTCAGTGAGCTGTGTAAAGAAATGGGCTCTGAATTTGAGGTACTTCTGCTCCATTCTAATATTCGGTGGTTATCCCGGGGACAGGTGCTGAATCGTGTTTTTGCCATGCGTGTGGAATTAGCCCTGTTTTTGCAAGAGCACCAACACTGCCATGCAGATTGCTTCAAAAATCCTGAGTTCATTCTCATTTTAGCGTACATGGCTGATATATTCGCAGCTCTCAATCATCTCAATCAGCAGATGCAGGGTGGTGGAGTCAATATCATGGAGGCGGAAGAACACCTGAAGGCTTTTCAAAAAAAGCTACCGTTATGGAAACGACGAACAGAGAACAATAACTTCGCAAACTTCCCGCTTCTGGACGACTGTGCAAGTAAGATCGAAGATGTGTCTGGAATCGGAGATATTTCTGTATCCACGGAACTGAAGCAAACAATTGCCACGCACTTAGATGAGCTTGCAAAGTCTCTCGACGGATATTTCCCTACAAGAGAGTCATATCCAGCATGGGTGAGACAGCCGTTCACGTTTGCTGTTGAAACAGCAGATGTCAATGATGAATTCCTCGACGAAATCATTGAAATTCAGCAGAGCCAGGTTCAACAGCAACTCTTCAGAACAACAACGCTCTCAACGTTTTGGTGTCGACAAATGAACAAGTATCCAGTTATTGCTAAGAAAGCCCTGGATTTTTTTATACCATTTGTTACAACATATCTTTGTGAGCAATCCTTTTCGAGGATGCTGGACATAAAAACGAAGAAAAGAAACAGACTTCGCTGTGAAAATGACATGAGAGTGGCACTTGCCAAGGTGAAGCCACGCATATCTGAACTGATCTCTCAAAGGCAACAGCAGAAGTCACATTGATTTCCAGGTATGTAATTTGTTGTGAGTTTATGCATTGTGTTGGTTTTATTCTTTGAACAAGGTAATGTTCATGCACGGCTCATTTTGTGTACCAGTAAAAAACATATCTATGTCTTGAATTTGAAAAAAATCACATTTTATTTTTCACTAAAGAGGGGTTCGGTGAATGCGCATATGAAACTGGTGGGGTTCGGTACCTCCAACAAGGTTAAGAACCACTGCTCCAGGATAAACAAATATTCTGATTCCGGGGGCCAGGCGGTGGCGAGAGGTTTTAAGAAACTTTCCTGCCGCGCCGGGGAGATGGAATCGAACCTGCGGACCTCCGTGCCGTGTGTCCAGGGCGCTGCTGACCGTTAACTCCACCGTGGCAGCGTTTGACCCGACCACTTTTTGCCGGTTTCCGTTATTAATTTGACTTGCGCCACGAAAAAAACAATTTCCGCGCTTATTAATTTCCACATTTGACAATGAGCTGGAAAGCCGTGTCGCCGACGAACAGGCGAGAGGGAAAGTCACCTCGCATTTGTTCAAGAAAGCCTGACTCTCGCTGACGAGACTCCCGATGTCGAAACTGGATTGCATTAAACCGATGCTTGCCGATCAGATGCCCTCCCAGAAGGCCGTGTGACCGATGGGTTGTGTGTAAACGAAAAAAAAAACCTTTTTTTTTAATTCACAGAGACAAATAATGGCAGGAGGTTGGTTTTTTGACGCTGAGCGATTACTTTTGCCTCATGTTTTATCTCTCGTAGACTCACCTTTTCGGAATCTGCCTGCAACCGGCGTTAACGGTTAGCAGCGCGCGCTGGACACTTGCAATCCAGAGGTCGCCGGTTCAAACCCCATCATTCGGCAAGGCGGTCGATACGAAGTGGGCCCAGTTTCTCAAAGCTCCCCCCTCCCCCCGCCATCCAGTGGTTCACGTGCGGTAAAGTGTTGGCACGCCCGACGCTTCCAACACGTCTCGTCGACGCTGAACAGCGCGGAACCTTCCGCCGGCGGGTGGCGTGAGCCAGCGATTGCAGGGCTGCACCTTTAACAGTCAACGATAACTTCGCAGCGCGGGGCGACCGCGAGGGACGGCGCCGCGGCCGTCTCACCGGAAGGGGGAAAAGTTTTTTTCCGATTTCGGCAAATTTCTACGACGACGCCGCGTGGCCGCGCTCAACGACGTCACGGGATCGTCAGTTCGCACCGCCGCGGCATTGACCAGGGCGGCCTGGGCGGATTCGAACCGCGAACCTCCGCGGCGACCGCGCCTACCGCCGGGGCCCGCGTCGCCTCCGCCTTGACTTTGACCTTTACACCTACCTTGACCTTTGACCTGACCTTTGCCTTGACATTTACCTTGACCTAGACCTTTACATTTACTTTGACCTTTACCTTTGCATTTACCTTGACCTTTGTCTTGACCTTTGCATTTACCTTGACCTTTGTCTTGGCCTTTGCCCTTAAATTTACCTTGACCTTTGTCTTGACCTTCACTTTGACCTTGCACTTTACATTCACCTTGCCCTTTACCACGAACTCCCTCCTCCTCCTCCCCTCACCACCCCCCCCCCCCACCGCAGGGCATGGCATGCACGGCATGTTCGAGATGCTCTCCTCCTGGCGCAAAAGCAAGGACGAGCTCGGGGTGAAGGAGCGCCTGGCGCTGGTGTACACGGACACCATGGTCTCCTTCACGCTCACCAGCGCCATGTACCTGGTCACCTTCGGCCTGGGCGCGAGCCCCTTCACCAACCTGGGTGCCGTCAAGGTGTTCTGCCGCAGCACGTGCGTGGCCATCCTCTTCAACTACCTCTACCTGCTGTCCTTCTTCGGCTCGTGCCTCGTGTTCGCCGGCTACGTGGAGGCCCGCGGGCGGCACGGCGCGCTCTGCTGCGTCGCCGTCCCCACGCCGCCGCCGCAGCCGCCGCCGCCGCCGCCGCAGCAGCCGCCGGCGTCGGCGGAGGGCACCGGCGACGCGGACGCTCCGCCGCAGCCGCCGCCGCCGCCGCCGCCGCCCCCGCCGCGGAGGGGCTGCTGCCGCGTGACGCAGCGGTCGCACCGCGATCACCACCGCGCGACGCCGGGCGCGAGCGAGAACCCGGCGTACGACTTCCACGTGACGGTGTGGTTCCTGCGCGAGCACTGCGGGAAGTGGCTCACCAACACCTACGTGAAGCCCTTTGTGGTGCTGCTCTATCTTGTCTATGTGTCCTTCGCCATGATGGGATGCCTGCAGGTCAGAGTGCACTTTCGTTTTCGTGCTTTGCCGGTTGGGTTTTTTGTCCGTTTGCGTTTGATGTTTGTTTGTTTTCGCTGACGCTTTACAGCCTCTGGGTTGAAAAGCGGCGTCGCGTCTACGTGTGCGTCCCTTCTGTCTGTGTGTCCTGCGTGGTGATGATGGGATGCCTGAAGGTCAAAGTGCGCTTCTGTTTTCTTTGTTGTGATCTACGTTTAGTTCGGGTTTTTTTTTTCTCCCCGACCTAAGGTCGAATGGGACATCGTGTCGACACGCCCTCTGCGATTATTGATGCGGTGCCCGGTTTAATTTCGGCCGGAGCCCTCCGGGACCGAGCTCCAGAAAGTGTCTCCCCACCCCCTGCTCTCTGTCAGTGAGGGTGGAAGGGGGTGGGGAGACGTGGGAAGAGTTTTCAGAACCTGGTGATTGGGAAATCCCCAGAAAATATTCCATGAGTTTGTGGTGTTTTGTTTGTTCCGAACTGCACTGCTCACCTCACCGTCTACATCATCACCTCGTCTGGACCCGTTATCTCACCTTGCCCTCAACTCCCCCAGTCGCTCTCGCTCAGCAGCCTCTTCTACTCAAGCCGGACAATACCCACGCTCGATCCCGACCTCGCCCCGTGCCGCCTGACTCCCCTGCCCCGCGTCTACCCCCCCTCGCCCCGCTACTTCTCCTCACCTCGCCTCCCCGATCTCTTCTCCCCTCCCCTCGCCCGCGTCCCCTCACCCGCCCCCCCTCCCCGGCACCTCTGCCGCCGGGCCCCCCAGGTACGAGAGGGCTGCGACCTGGGCCGCCTGCTGGCCACGGACTCGCGCACGCTCCGCTACCGCGCGCTGCAGCGCGAGTACTTCAGCAGCTACGGCCCGGCCATCGGCTTTTACGTCTACGAGCCCCTCGACTACTGGAACGAGAGCGTGCAGGAGGGCCTGCGCGCCATCACCGCCGGCTTCGTGCGCTCCTCCTGGCTCGAGAGCTTCCTTGCCTTCCTCGAGAAGTCCAACGGCACCGCGGCCGTGGGGCGCGAGGCGTTCGTGCGCGCCCTGCTGCGCTCCTTCTTCGCGGCGAGGCCCTTCGTGGGCTTCGCCGACGACCTCATCCTCGCCACGAGCAACGGCTCGGTGGACATCTCGGCATCGCGCATGTACCTGGCGGCCGGCCGGACGGCGCTCGCCCGCGAGGAGGTCTCGGGCCTGCTGGACACGCTGCGCCGGCGCTCGCTCGCCTCCGACGTCAAGTTCGTCATCTTCAACCCGTCGTTCGTGTTCGTCGACCGCTGCGCCTCCTCCATCGGCTACTCGGCGCTCACGCCGTGCGCGGGGGCCCTCGCCGCGCTGCTTCTCTCGGCGCCGCTCTCGGCCGAGCCGCTGGCCAACGCGTGGCTCTCGCTGTGCGCGCTCTCCGCCGGCTTCGGTGCTCTCGGCTACATGACCCTGTGGGACGTGCGAGTCGACTTCGTGTCGGCCCTCTGCCTCGTCTTCGGCGTCAACTACGCGGTGGAGCACTGCGCGCCGCTCGTGGCCGCGTTCGCCGCGGGCCAGGAGCTCACGCGCACGCGCTGGATACAGGTGGCCGTCGAGCTCAACGGCTCGCCCGTCCTGCAGAGCCTGGCCTGCTTCGCCGCGGCCCTCGCCCCGCTCTCGCTGGCGCCCTCCAACCTCACGTACACGCTGTTCCGCGGCCTGCTCGTGGCCGCGCTCGCCGTCGCGTTCCACGTGCTCGTCGTGCTGCCCGTCGTCCTCACCTTCTTCCCGCCGTCCAAGCGCAGGAGGAGGAGGCGGCGGGGGGGAGGGGGCGGCGGGGGCGGCGGGGGGGGCGGCGCCGGGGGGGGGGCGCCGCACCGGCCGCCGGCCCAAGCGGCCGCCGCCGGAGCCGCGCGACGAGATCGAGTGCGTGGAGCTGCACAGCGCCAACCGCGTCACCGCCGATCGGGCGACCGCTGTGTGAAGGGGGGGGGGGGGGGGGGGCTGGGCACATTGTGGAGGGGAGGGTGGGAAGGCGGGGGGGGGGGGTCGCGGACGTCGTGCCGGAGGTCGACCCGTGGCACGGCGGATCTTGTCGGAGTAGTTTGGGAGAGGCGGTGCTGCGGGGATGCCGACGGGCGGCTCTCTTGGGGGGCGCGTCGCCCGTCGCGACCGCCGTGCGCCCCCCCCAGGTTAGGGGCTCGGGCCGCGCATTGAGCGCTTCCCCTCTCAGGCTTTCGCGTCCTCGGGAAAAGTCCCGGGCGGGGAGCGCTGGGAATTCTCGTCCGTGCCCGGGAGAGAGCAAACCGGCGCGCAAAGGAGGACTTCGTTTAACCCATCGCAGGGGGGGCCACTTGGGGCTCCTGAAGGTGCCCCCCCCCCCCGCAGCGAGCGCCGCGTGGGAGAATGAATGCTGAGCACGTGGAAGACCGCGCTTTGGAAGAGAGCTGTCTCCCCTGCAGGTGCAAGAACGTGCATCCCGAGCTGCCCGACGCAAGCCCGGAGCTCAGAATCGCTCGCCAAAATCACTTCAGTTGGAGGAAAATAAAAGAATGCAAACCCCCACGTAGCGACCGTCGCTGCCTTTCCTGGGAATGCGAATTCCCACTCGCAGGCTGACACTGCGCGCGCCGTTTAACGAGCGGGGACAGCTGCCGCTGGGCGGTCCCCCGTCGACGAGGCTGCAGCGGAAGGCGTTGGAGCGGTTGAGATGAGATGCGGACGGAGGGACGTCTCCGCGCCCTGCGAGCGAAGGCAAGTGCTGACCCGCTGGAAGGTAGTCCCGACATTCCGGGTGACGTCGCCGCGAGGTAACGCGGCTCCGCACGCGAGGGCGCGCCGGGAGTCGACTCGAAAGCAATTCCTCATGTCCCCGCCCACGTGGTTCAGCGGTAGAGCGAGCGCCTCGGGATTGGAAGGGCCCAAGTTCGAATCCTGGCGGTGGGGGCGAGTTGATTCGGCCCCCGTAACCCCTCCCACGTGGGCAAGATCAACGGCGGTTGTTCTGTGGATAGACTCGCCCCTGCCATGAGAACGTGGAACTTCCGATACTGGGTCAGGGCTGTGAACGGGAGCGCCGTCTCAGTTGCTCGTTGGAGCAGGAAATTACTTTGACTTTTTTTAAAATTACCAAATCTTATAAATTATACCGGACAAATTATATAATATCAGAGTATATTATATTTTATTTTTTCCTTTTAAGGCCGCAGTGTTTATTGACGAATGTGCCGAGTTTTACTTCGTTTGTTTGTGTACCACTGTCAACGCAACAGCAGTAGCAACTTCACCAGATGATGAACTTCATAAGGCACCTGATCATAATGGCACATGATGAAAACAGAAGGGATCATTGTTACCGTCCGTTGTGTTGCGTCCACCTTTGAGATAAGACCTCCGCTCACGCGCCACCGCCAGAGAATTCTGCGGGATTGTCTGTTACTTGCCGTTCTTATTAAACGACATATGTCGTTGGCTTGCTGTGATGCTGGCAGCCAACACATACGTAGGAGTACACGTGCCACAATTGCATATACAATTGATCGGTAATCGGAATTGTGATCTCGGGATGGGTGAACGTTGATAGAATCATCGGGGCGAGGAGGGGGATGTACCTGGCAGACCTCGCTTAGCTCGTCTCCGGAGAGCGCCACCACTCCGGTGAATCGATTATCACAATTTTGCGATCATGCTTATATTTAGAAAAATTCTACAAAAATTTGATTCGTTTAGCCGCAGTAATGTGGAGTGAGGGCGTCGCTGAGGCGAAGGTCTCGGCAACCAAAGTAACAAGCAGAAACAGTTTTTTTGTTTTTCCAATTCGGTAAAAAAACTCAGTATTTTTGGAGAGCCGCGGCCCACATGGTGGTGAATATAGGCGAGGCGTTGGGCCCTTAATGAATGACGGAGTTGGCCCTTGAAGAGTGGCACGCACGCACGCGGCTCCGGAGCCGCAGGCTGCCAACCCCTGACGACTGAGATCATCACGGAGGTGACTGAGAGTGACCCGGACTGGGCGCGCAGCGGCTTCTACAACCTCGTCTCCCACCTCGTCTCCCACCTCGTCCCCACCTCGCCTCCCACCTTGTCCCCCACCTCGTCCCCCACCTCGTCCCCACCTCGTCTCCCACCTCGTCTCCACCTCGCCTCCCACCTCACCTCCCACCTCGTCTCCCACCTCGTCCCCCACCTCGTCTCCCACCTCGTTCCCCACCTCGCCTCCCACCGCTGCCTTGTAGGAGCAGTACAGTAGAATGCACTCATAAGTACAGGATATAATACTTACCGATATTATACATTTAATTAATTAAATAATGTTTATTATCTTTGTAATTAAAATTATTAGCGCTATTACCGATACTCAGATACTATTACCGATACCCCGCAAAGTTAGAGTATATATACACAATGGTATCATTGGACCCCCTCCCCCCTCTTGTAGCGGCTGATTCGGTTAGCGCCCACTTCTCCACGAACAAACGCTAAGCGAGGTCTGCCTGTACAGGGACTCCTCTATTTACGAACGAGTTAGGTTCCAGGTCTGTTCATAAGTCGATTTGTTCGTAAGTCCAACTTTACTCCTGTCGATTCCAAACATTGTTGTACGGCATGTACACTAAACACGGGTAATGGCTTTAAAAGTTGTATAATCTCCTGTAGATGTAGATGCCACTGGTTCTTCACGTTCTGCAGATGTAGATGCCACTGGTTCTTCACGTTCTGCAGATGTAGATGCCACTGGTTCTTTACGTTCTGCAGATGTAGATTCCATTGGTTCTTCACGTTCTGCAGATGTAGATGCCACTGGTTCTTTACGTTCTACAGATGTAGATGCCATTGGTTCTTCACGTTCTGTAGATGTAGATGCCATTGGTTCTTCACGTTCTGCAGATGTAGATGCCACTGGTTCTTCACGTTCTGGAGATGTAGAGCCACTGGTTCGTCACGTTCTGCAGATGTAGATGCCACTGGTTCTTCATGTTCTGCAGATGTATATGCCACTGGTTCTTCATGTTCTGCAGATGTAGATGCCACTGGTTCTTTTTACGTCCTGCAGATGTAGATGCCACTGGTTCTTCACGTTCTGCAGATGTAGATGCCATTGGTTCTTCACGTTCTGCAGATGTAGATGCCACTGGTTCTTCACGTTCTGCAGATGTAGATGCCATTGGTTATTCACGTTCTGTAGATGTAGATGCCACTGGTTCTTCACGTTCTGCAGATGTAGATGCCATTGGTTCTTCACGTTCTGCAGATGTAGATGCCATTGGTTCTTCACGTACGGTAGATGTAGATGCCACTGGTTCTTCACGTTCTGTAGATGCCACTGGTTCTTCACGTTCTGTAGATGTAGATGCCACTGGTTCTTCACGTTCTGTAGATGTAGATGCCATTGATTCTTCACGTTCTGCAGATGTAGATGCCACCGCCGCCATCTTTTGCGCGGCGGTTGAACTTACGACTTTCGGTTCGAACGGGCAACAGGATATACGGACAGGGTTGTTCATATCTCTGAAAGTTCGTGTGTCGAAGAGGGGGCCCTGTATTGTTATACGAGAAATTGTTGTGACTGCGTGTTATATGGATGTTTACGTGTGTGTGTTATCGCGCGACACCAGGGGCCGTGTGTGTTGGGGCAGTTGGCAGCGCTGCGTTACGAAACTGGCGACCCGAGTTCGATTCCTGCTCATGGCCAACACCAGTGATGATTATCTGAATCGGTCCTGGGCCTCCCCTAGGAAGACAAAGGCGGTCGGGCGTGGTGTTGGCCACTCACCCCCCCCATGTGCCGTTCCGGCCTTCATAGGTGCTCGCTAACAGCAGTTGTCCCAACAGTCTGTTAAGGCTATACGGGGGATCTTTGTCCTTGGAGGGCAGTTGGCACAGTTGGGGGTACAGATGGTGTGCATCTGCCAGTCAGCTCTGTTAGCCAACCCGTGGCACCTGCTGGGTTTGTCCCGTGACCTCCTGTCAGCAGCGAGCCTTCGACACTTCACGTGGTAGCCTCAAAGTGCACCTGGCCTGGCACAGGCACCGTGGTGACGTCACTGTCACTTAGTGGCGAATGGCTGCTGGTGGTATTGGGGGGTGCAGTGGATTGGCGCACTGTACTCATAACTTGGCGATCCGAGGTCGATATCGTACACCACGGTCAATATTTATGGAGAATATACAGGGTGCTTCAAAAAAATGTGAACACTTAGATGGTACTGTCGTTTAATGGAAAGAGAACAGATAATACACTGTAACATAACAAATATATGTTAATAGCTTCAAAAAGTAAAAGAGTCTCCACTTTAACACGTCGGCTTTCGCGACCAATATTATTCATAATTAAGTTATTTGGGTTGAAACGCGTAAATATAAATGCGTCGTAACCCTCCACCACCCGACACAGCCAATTAGTAAGGGATTTGTCACGTAAACAAAACGCCAATTAGTTACCCTTTTTTCAGCCTTTACTATGAAGAGTCTCCACGTGTTCGCCATCGTTGTCAACACGTGGCCTGGCATCTTCTCCAGGTGGTCTACAGAGCCCGGAGGCAGCACATTTCCTGTGGTGGTGTTGCAAATTCTCAGACGTGTTAACATTTTTTTTGAAGCCCCCTGTACATGAACCAGTCCTGGGCCCTTCCCCGTGTGTACATCTCACCAACTGGGGAGACAAAGGCGGCCGGGCGTGGTGCTGGCCACCCACCCCCTGGTGTGCCGTTCCGTCCTTCATAGCTGCTCGCTAACAGCACTTGCCCTAACGGTCTTCTGAAGGCTATACGGGGGATCCTTTTCTTGTGTGTGTGTGTGAGAGGACGTGGCTGTGTGTGTGTGGTGCATGCACACGTGTGTGTGTGTGTGTGGGAGGATGTGGCTGTGTGTGTGTGGTGCATGCACGTGTGTGTGTGGGAGGATGTAGCTGGGTGTGTGTGGTGCATGCGCGCGTGTGTGGGAGGATGTGACTGGGTGTGTGTGGTGCATGCGCGCGTGTGTGGCAGGATGTTGCTGGGTGTGTGTGGTGCATGCACGCGTGTGTGTGTGTGTTGGTGGCTGTGGCTGGGTGTGTGTGGTGCATGCGGGCGTGTGTGGGAGGTTATGGCTGGGTGTGTGTGGTGCATGCGCGCGTGTGTGGCAGGATGTGGCTGGGTGTGTGTGGTGCATGCACGTGTGTGTGTGTGTGGGAGGATGTGGCTGGGTGTGTGGTGCATGCGGGTGTGTGTGGCAGGATGTGGCTGGGTGTGTGTGGTGCATGCACGTGTGTGTGTGTGGGAGGATGTGGCTGGGTGTGTGGTGCATGCGGGCGTGTGTGTGGGAGGATGTAGCTGGGTGTGTGTGGTGCATGCGGGCGTGTGTGTGGGAGGATGTAGCTGGGTGTGTGGTGCATGCGCGTGTGTGCTGTCTGGAGGGGAGAGGCATAACCGGACTTCTCTAAATTAACTTTATTTACCCGAATAAGTGTCGGTTATTGGAGTGAAACGATTTTGGGAGGAAAAGCGATCAGACAAACAAAATCAAATCTCCTTTAGCAAATGTGATTCACACAAAACCAGAACATTTCCTCAAACACCCCAAACCACGCTTGTAATAAGTGAATACAATCACGACCTTCTACTGCACGCACGCAGGCGCATCCAGACTCCCTGTGTCACAAGGTGCGCGTGCAGATTAACAGTCCCTTGAATTGCCTACATCAAAGCGGGCTGACTGATTCGATATCGGCGTCGCA